CTCTTTCCACTTTGCAGCTAGCGTTCGTCTTCAGCTCTGTGGTCTACGGCACCAGCTACCGGTCCATGAGCTCCATGGCAAAGCCGTCTTTCACAGACGATGGCAGCCTTGCCGACGGGGGAATTGACCTGAACATGGAGCAGGGGATGGCAGAGTGAGTGTCCACACCCGCACGAGTCCAGGTGAGCAGGACCTGCTGCCTGAGCGTGCACGCAGAGCCGGGGCAGTCCCCGAAGGAGAAGGCCAGGCCTCAGCTCCCACCTCCGCTTGCCCACTGGCACAGGCATGGGGGGAGCTGGGAGCCTGTAGTTGTTTTTTCCACAAACGTACCCAAACTGTTCTCATTATCTGAATGCTTGGCCTGGTGTGCGCTAGTTATGAGCCGCCATGTGGGTATGTCAGCCTGGAACAGCCACTGTCCTTAGGGCTGAGCTGGGAAATCCCAAACAGTTCGGCTGGAGCAGCCGACAGCTGTCTTTCGGTGAAGAGACAGCACTGACACTGCGCACGCTTCTGCAGCACGCAGAGATATATATTTTCCTTTTAAACCAGCACTGCAGGTAGTGCTTGGCAGAGCAGAAGGGCACACTCTGCCAGTTACCCCATCCTGGCTGCAAACTGGCCGTGTCTTGAACTGTTCTATACGCTAAAAACCCTCCCCTCTGTCTCAGCCAGCTCCTGTCACGCCTCAGCCTGTTCTGCCTCCTGTGCCTGTGCGTTCCTCATGTCTGTCTGCCGGCAGCACCAAGCATTTGCCTGTCCAGTGTTCTCGGTGGTGCTGTGACTCTCTTTTCCTCGGCCAAGGAACACCCAACAGTAACTCCTGCAAAGTGATTTAAATAAAATAAGAAGACAGCAGTACTGAAATGGCAGAAATATCTTCTAGATTTACGTGTTTTCCAGCAGCGAGCTTCAGACTAGTTATAGAAAACTACGGGGCAGCCGTGGACACATCAGGCTTTGCTCTCTGTCCTCCCTGCCCTCCGCCTCCATCTGTTGGTCCAGCTTTTGCTTCAGTGTGTGCTGAGTGAGGTGCCTGAGGTAGCTGGCCCCTTCCCTCCGGTGCCCTTGGCCTAGAATTTGAGGTTTATCACCCTCTTTCCCTTGCTGCCAGGCTTTTGAAGAACCACAGCGGGGCCTTGTTTCTGGCTGAGCCCTTTCCGTCATGTCAAGCATTCTCGTGCAGGAAGGGCCACATATTGAAATATATCTTTTTATTTTTCTTAGCAGAAGTTTTATTTCTGCAGCCAGCAGGTGCTTGGGGATGTTGTCAGCAGGCAGACCGACTTGTGTGGCGCAGAGCCTGGCTGTCTCACAGGATGAGCTCTCCTCTTGTGTGTTTGTTAGTGGGGTAATACATTTTCTGTGTGCAGCTGGAGTAAGAGACTCTGCCGAGGGATGAGGTGGCCAAGAAGAGAGGGAGTTACTTCTAGTGTGACTTGTGAGCTGGGTCCTTTACATCCTTTTCATCCTATAGCGACTTCTTTTTCCTGCTGGTCAGCCAAGCGTTTTTCTCCCGTTTTACTCTGTTTTGGCTCTCTGGCGTGGAAGTGTAAAGTATTTTTGATATCTTTTTTGTGAAACACAACAGTAAGGAAAATACAGAGGTTTGATGTCATCTGGGCTATCCTCCTGGTTGTGGGAGACGCACTTGGGAGATGTGTGAGGCCCTGAAGCAGAGCAGGTGCCCCAATAACCACCCCATGCATGTGTGTGCTGGCGCTGTCAGAGGAAATGACTGGCAGGAGTTGGCACGGGGATCTCCTTACCTGCTGCGAAAAGGTGAGGAGCGCACTTGTAGCCATGCTGCAGCCCGGTTGCAGATGTAGCACTTTCCTTGGTACTGGGGCTCCGAGGTTTTTCTGCCCGAGCAGCGCACCATTGGGGTGAGGTTTATGACACGTTAAAATGATTCGATGCTTGTGCACGGGCTGTGCAAAACACGGAGGAGGCAGAGTTGTAAAAACAAAATCTGCGCAGCTGAAGTTCCCAACCTTCCCCTGTACCTTTGTACCTGAGCCTGTGCAGGGCCTTTAGCCGGGAGAGTGCGAGTCTCGTTAGTTTAACCCTGTTGGGATGTGATAACAAACACTCGGCACTCCTCCTGCTGTTTGTTTGTCGGGGGAACCACTCCAAATGACCGCTTTGGGGACCAGGGAACCAGGGTTACTTTCAGAGAGCGGCGGATGTTTCCCTGCCTCTTGCTCTTTTGGAGCTGCTGCTGGAACACTGCGGATTTGACGGCGTTTCCCTTGTGCTCTCTGTAACTGAAACGTGGTGTGGGTTGCTTTGGGTTGAAAGCTGATCTTGCTGGTCTCTGGGAGAGCTGGGTTCTCTGGGAGCTCTGCTGTCACCCCACTATGGCCTTGGGTGATGCACGAGATTTCTGAACTTCAGCAGCCCGTCAGAGAGCTGTGGGTCGTGGATTCTGCAGTGCCTTGAGCTGATGGTGGTGTCCCAGCCTAAACCAGTTGCTTCTGGTCACTTTGCTTTGTGCTGTGCTGCCCAGAATGAGAAAAGCTATTTCCTTACCATTGCCTTTGTTTTCTTGACTCCCATTCTTGGATGTGACTTGAGCGTTTCTTACTCCAGCAGATGATTTAATGGGAGTGAGAGAGCTAGTGTTTTTCTAACCCATCATGGCAGTCCCTGTGGCTTGTGTTGAAAAACTAGTACCTGTTTACCTCTCCTGGGTGTCAGGTCCCCCCCAGAGTGGTGCTGGAGGTGTGGGCAGCTTGTTCCCCTCGGTAGCTGCTCTCAGCTCTCTTCAGGCTAGTGTGGAAGACCCTGGAGTTGGACAACCAGGAGGAGAGGGGGAGCCGTCCGTTGCTGTAGCTCGGCTGGCGGGCGATGGTGTGCGTGTCCTTGCAGCACCCCAGCTCTTTGGCAACCCTGAGTGTGTCTGTCAACCTGTGAAATGGCCCAGGGAAGATTAGGGCTTCCCTTCAGTGCAGCCAGCCGGGAGCAGCTAAACTTCATGCCATGACATGTGTCAAATCAGTGAGTGCTGGCTGCTGTCGCAGGCTGCGGGGGTGGTGGTTTTGTTGCTGATTTCTACCCCACTGCATTCCTCAACTTTCTCAGTGTCCCTTTCCAGAGGGAGCCTAGCTCTCTAACTCACTGGATTTATTTATTATTTTTTTTGTTTACTGCTCTGATTCTTCTAAATTATTGTGTGTGGCGAAGCATAGCTGCAGGGACAGCCCTTCGGTCAGGCCGGGTCGCTCCCCAGAGGTGGCACAGACGGGCTGTGTTGGCAGAGGAGCTGGTGTGTTCGGCGGGGGCTGGAATGGAAGGTTAATGCTTTTGCTTTTCTTCCCTTAGGCACCTCAAGGATGTCATCCTGCTGACAGCTATAGTCCAAGTGCTGAGCTGCTTCTCGCTCTACATCTGGTACTTCTGGCTCTTGGTAAGCCCCTGTGGTTTTCCTTGTTGCTCTACGTTGTCCTTGGCTTTCCCTGTCTTCAGAGTCCCTTTCATTTCATGGTTTCAGCCCAATTTTTTTAATCTCCCTGTTAAAAATGAGACCGTACAAGGGAAAGAAGTCCTGAGCCCTTTGAGTCAACCATGCAAAAACTAGGCTGGCCTTATCCTTTCTCTGTGTTCCTGTGAAAGGGCAACAAGAACTATGAGGCAGATCAAAGCCATCTTTGTGCATAGAGCCTTTTTTGTGAAGGCAGAAACCAGAAAATAATCTGAAAACAGACTGTTTCTTCTTGTTTGGTTTTCTCAGTCATTCACCCAGCACGGACTGAGGCTGGGAACCACTGGACACTGTGCCACTTGGTAGATCAAAACACTGGAGGCTTTGATTTCCCCTTAACACACCAGACTCTTTCTACTCCCGAGGTATTTGTCATGTGCCTCCAGCTAAAATTGCTTTTGCAGAAGGACAAAAAAAATCTCCAGTTAGTTAAAAATCCCACAGGTGCTTTCAGTATAGGCCACACATGTATATCAGGCAGTCTGGGGAACATAGAAAGTTACTTCATGTCAGTCCTTACTCACAAGTTCTTTCTAGCTGGCCTGGCAGAGGGCAGCCTAAACTCTTGACTATCCTCTGGAGACCATCTGGATCACTTTTTTTTTTTTTAATTCAGAGAAATATGGGTGTGTTTTCTGAAGGAGGGAGAGGCAGAATGTCTGGATCTTTCTGGGTAATTCAGACCTGATGCTGGGATTTCCACAGATGAAGCCCAAGTGCTGTATACGTAGGCAAGTTCCTAAACCAGGCCATTTATCTTGGACGCCTGCCACCACCTTTGATTTCCATGCATCCTGTGATGCCCCTGATCAAGCCTGTAAAGACATTCCACCTCCTTCATCTTCCTCGATGGGACCAGCCCTCCTGACTGTAGCACCACCCCTTCCAGAGCTGTCCCCAGAGTGACCGAGTTTGTGCCACATGTGTTTTGCAGGCTCCGGGCCGCGCTCTCTACCTTCTATGGGTGAACATCTTGGGGCCCTGGTTTGCAGCTGACTCTTCGCCCGTCGGTCAGGAACCAAACGAGAAGAAGCAACGCCGACAAGAACGCCGCCAGATGAAGCGCTTCTAGCCCTGGCTGGGGAGATAGATTAATGCTGTCTCTCATCTCCATGCTGTTATTTCATCAGGGATGTGACCGAAACCATCGCAGTAGCCATCATTGCTGCTATTCCACTAGAAAAGCCGCCAGAGACTTCCCTCGGTTGGTTCTTAGTGCCAGTTGAGGCCTTGCTCCTTGGGATGACAAGGGGGGAGTGATGCTGGGATGGGTGTAAATACCTTTGTAAAGCCGCGCTGTAGCGCGTTCCAGGTTGGGGATTGCAATGTTGGAGGAAATAGTACATTAAAGAGCAGAGTCTGACTGACCGTGCCGGTGGTGTGTTCATGCAGGGGTGCTCACAGAGGGGAGCTGTTAAAAATACCAGGATATTCTTGGAGACCTGGACTAGAGGGAAGCAAAATTCCCTCAAAACAAGTGGTCTCATCCCTTCCCAAGCTTGCTCTGTGCTGCCCTGCCTGCCAGTGTCTGCACCCTGCCAGAGGGGCTGCAGCTGCCCTGCAAGATCAGGAGCGTGGGGCAGCTGGGGGTGCTGTGAACAGGGCTTGCAGCCAACCTTGGGGCTTTTGGGATTGAGCCTGGGCTCTCCTGAGGCACAAATGGGCCTGTGCTACCTTTGCAGGAGCTGAGTGGGCTGAAAGGCTACAGCTGAGAGAAGCCGAAATGAAATCTGTGGGGTTTTTTATTTATTTTGTTTCGTCTTTTAAATCGACTCTCCCAGGAGTGGCACAGCCAGGGTGCCATGACTGCTGCAGAGGCCAGGTGTTGGGAGACCAGGAACAGCTCAGGGCAGCTTCTGCTTTTGCCTACTTTGATTTATTAATGTTGTCCCTGCCCAGTATGTTGTTTTACATCCTCCAGTGACCCCTTCCTGCTCCTGATGCAGCAGCCTGGAGCCATGCAGTTTTGCCTGTGCAAGCATGGTCAGCATTCACAGTGGTGCCAGCCTGGCTTTCAGTGCTATCCACGACCTTTTGCCCACACGTTTCCATTACGTCATTTTTATTACACTCTTTTTCCTAACATCAAGTCCAATCCGCACCCTGAGTCCTTGGAGCCAGGCAGAGTGGCTGTAGTTGGGGTGCAGAGCAATGGTTAATTGTGGGCAAATACCTGTGGAGAGCAGAGATAGGTATGGGGGGGACTAAAGTCCTTCCTGCTGTTGGGGGATGGGGGGGGAGGCATGAGGGAGGGGAGTGGGGAGCAGGAGACACATGCACAGGGCAATCGGGTACAGGCCAGCCTTTATTCCCTGCCAGGGCTGCCAGGCACAGCCCAAAGGCTCCAGCCCCGAGCACTGCCCCCACTGTGCTGGGAGAACCCCCTGGTACCCTAAGGACATTCCCCCCACA